TCACAAAACAAGATACTAAACGTTCGCGAAATGATGGTTCAAAAGAATTAGTAGATGACAATGAAGATATATCACTGACATCAGAAACACATGAAGAGGAAGAGAAAAGCTCATCCTCTTCTATATTCATATTGTGCTTCATATTAAAAGTATCATTTACAAAATTAATATCAATAGAAGAACTGCAACCCGCAATTGATGGAATATCTTGATTGTTATTTTCAATATTATTGGTAGTTTTAGAAGAAGAAGAACAACTTTGCTCAGTTATGCTGTTTCTGATTTCGGACATAACCCTATCACGCTGTCTTACCGATACTATATTTATTGATTTACGCGAGACAGATAATTTAATGTTATTTCGTTTCATATTTACGTGTTTTTTTAATGTTGCAGCTGCAAAACGATGTCTCGTACTGCCTCTTCTTGCTTCTTAATATCAAGATATAAGATTCACTGTGCTAGCACAAAGAATTCACCTCTGTGGCGACGGTTGAATTCGAAATAATAAGCCTACGACACGTGCACAATAGAGGTTAGGTTGCGACCAGCGTTGTCGTGGAAGGTGAGGTACGACGCGAATCATACCTCTCTATCTCTCTATCGCGTGACGTCACTCTCTATCTCTCTATCGCGTGACACCTTCCACGGCAACGCTGGTTGTGACCAATCATAGATTAGGCAATATGGATGGCTTAGCCTAAGAGCAACATTTTGCCGCCATAAAAACGGACGATATCTCATCAAAGCGGCGAAATTATTATATAAATATATATATAAATTTAGTCGAATACTATGAAGAGCGTTACGATTATAATATTAATCAAAAAACTAAAACTAAAACTGTCTGACACTAGAAAGTTTTCGCGCGGAGCGCTCACACACCATGCGCGCGGTTCACTGACGTGCGCCTGGCTAAAGGTCCGCGCTGATTGGCTTGATTTATTCAATAATTACTCAATAACTATTGCAAATTTTGCAAAATGGCAAATAATTTTTCTATTCAGTTTAACTCAATCTATCTCTATACTTCGGCTGTCAAAATTTTACGGACCTGTATAAGAATTTTATATTTATGTATAGAGTGACGCTCAAACTTTGTGATCTGATAGGAAATTTACCTCTGAACAAAAAATTTTCTATTCAAAACATAAGTCCAAAAATGCTTCCTTAAATAATTAGCATCCAAAAACACTGAGATCATGTTTTTTTTTAATATATTTTTATATACGTTTTTTTATTTTATAAAAATGCAATAATTCTTTATATACTAAAACAACACTTTTTAATAAGAAATAAATAAAAAACTAATAAAAAAAAACTAATTGTTCTCGAAATGTTTTTCTTAAGCTTCAATATATCGGCACGAGTAGCGATCTATCTGCTGAACCTTATTTATAAAACCATATATCGTGGACGATAATTTTTGCACGACTGACTCACTCAATCAAGAGGCACGGTAGTGCCTCGCGCCAAGTTCACGCGCAACGAAGTTGCGCTCGTACTGCACGAGACACGCCGTGCGTCTTATACGCGAGATTGAGGTTTTTTAGTGGAGGGGAGATTTGTAATCAGCTATTTCTTCACAACGACTAAACCAATCGACTTCTTTTTGCATTCGTTCGATTCGCGTTGAAAAACTAAAGAAAAAAGTATTCTTGCGTTTTTTCTGTTCGTG